ATTTTACAGAAAATAAATCTGACCTGTAAAACGTTGAATAATAACATAGCATGAGAAAGAAAGTGATCGCCAGGATTTTTGAGTGAATAACCAGAGGTCTGGGTTGAGAAGATGGTAAGTAAGAGAGATTTCCTGAAAGAAAAGCCTCAAAAACTGACCAGACTTGTGTTCAGGAAATAGTGGAAGTAAATACCTGTGGAGGTCATTGCCAAAAGTCCATCCCAAGAATCTGGATAGAGACATGAAAAAAGTCCAATTCCCTCTGTAGCGGTCAATGTGAATGCTTTTTCAAATTCTACATCCAACCATGAACATTAGACACTGCCCAAAACAATCATTCGGTAACAACCTCCATCAATCAGGAATCATACTTGATATTTAAGTGCTTCATCACACTCTTGCACTACCGCAAGCTTCATATGTTTCTCCTAGCTTGCAGACCCAGCCAGCTGTTTCACCATGACATCTGCATTACGTAATAGGATTGCTAATTGTTCAGTGACATTCTTCCCTCCCTCTTTCAGGACAAGATGGCACACAACTTGGGGCAGCAGGAGCTCAGGCATGCCTATATACACTAACCCTTATGGACAATATCCTACTGAGCATTATCAGGTGTCCCTTACACGACTGACTATGATCAGTAGAGCGGATGAAATCCTAGTGCGAGACAATATCCTTCTACTTATCCTCCTAACATCCCACAGTTTCTTTTGCTTTACAAGATGCAGATGGTATAAGCATGCACCTTTTACGTTATCCTCATCTTCCCAGACTGCAGCCTTTGTGCCTTTTTCCTTTCTGGTAATTGAAAAGTGCAGCCACCAACAGACCAGTCACCTAGTCTACGCTTCGTTTCCCCAATGTAGAGGAGACCACATTGTGAGCACCAAATGCAGTAGGCTAGATTCTAGGAAGTGCAGGTGAGGTGTTGCTTCACCTGGAAGATATGTTTGGGCCCTTGGATACTGGGGAGGGAGGAGGTAAATGTGCAGGTGTTGCACCTTCACCGGTTACAGGGGAAGGTGCCGTAGGGTTGTGGGGAGGTGTTGGGGGTGAAGGAAGTGTGGACCAGAGTGTCCTGGAGGGATCAGTCTCTGCGGAAGGCGGACAAGGGAGGGGAGGGGAATATGTGTCTGGTGGTGGCATCTTGCTGGAGGTGGCGGAAATAGTGCCTGATGATCTTCTGGATGTGGATGCTAGTGGGTTTGTAGTGGATATTAGTGGCGTTCAGCTCGCAAAAAAGACCCTGAACTACCTGTTGCCTGCCACTTTAATGCACCACTCTGTTCCCTGACCAACATGTTTGTCTGTGGCTTGCTGCAGTGTTCTAGCGAAGCTCAACGCAAGCTAGAAGAACAACACCTCATTTTCTGCTTGGGGACCCTGCAGCCCTCCAGACGCAATATCGAGTTCAATAATTTTAGGGCCTAAACTCTCCCATGTCCCAGCCCCCTACCCCTCACACCAGGCCTTGTTACCACATAGCCTGCCATTACACACTACCTGTTATTAGTCACTAATAGTCCCCATTAATAACTATTCACCCTCCCATCCTGATCGTTATCAACTCTTTGTCTGTCCAACTGCTCTTCTTTCTCTTTAGGCTCTATCCTATTGTTTACTCCCTACCCCATCCCCCTCCCCTTTTTCCTGCATATAAACTGACGTTTTCCCAGCCACCATCAATTCTGAGGAAGGTCACCGGACCCGAAACATTATCTCTGTTTATTCTTTCACAGATGCTGCCAGACCTGCTGAGCTTTTCCAGCAACTTTGTTTTTGTAACATCCTAGTGAACCTCCTCTGTACCGCCTGTCGTGCTATCACATCCTTCCTGTAGTGACGTGACCAGAACTGTATACAGTAGCCCAGCTGTAGCCCAACCAATGCTCTGTACAGCTCCAGCATTACCTCCTTGTTCTTATACTTTATGACACAACTGATGAAAGCAAATGTCCCTATGCCTTCTCAACTATCCTATTCGCATACTCTGCTGACTTCAGGGTTTTGTGAATAATTACCCCAAGATTCTTCTGTTCCTCTGAGCTATGCAGTGCCCTGCTATTCACTGAATACTCCTCATCTATTTTCTTCTTCCAAAGTGCATCACCTCGCACTTATCATGTCTAAATACCATCGGCCACTGCTCTGCCCACCTGACCAACTCATCTGTATCTTCTTGCAACCTAAAACCATCTTCTTCACTGTTAACCAGCCTACCAATTTTGTTGACATCTGCAAACTTGCTTAACATTCCATCCACATTTTTATCTACATCACTTATGCATATATCAAACAAAAAAGGGTCTCAGTATTGATCCTTGTGATACACCGCTGGACACTGGCCTCCAGTCACTCAAAAAGCCTTCTACCACTACCCTTTGTGTCCTATTACTAAGCCAATTTCTGATCCATCTCACCCAAGTTTCCCTGAATTCCAAGTGCTTTAACATTCTCAGTCAGTCTCTCATGTGGTACGTTGTCAAAAGCTTTGCTAAAATCTATACAAACTACATCAACTAAATCTTCCTCATCCACATTCTAATAAATGTGTCAGGCATGACCACCCTCTGACAAAGCCATGCTGACTATCCCTACTTAACCCATACTTATCCAAGTGGATATTAATTCTCTCCTTCAGAATGTTCTCCAATAGTTTCCCTTCGACTGACGTGAGACACTTGCCTTCCAAAAGCTGTGTTTTCCTGTGTGACTCCCTCTTTTGAAGACGCTTAGTGCCTGATTTAGGGAAGCTGTTTTGGGAAGGGATTTGAGAAGCTTATAGTTACCATTGTACCTTTGCTTCTTCCTATCTCTTTGTACCACCCCTCCTCCCTGACCCATTCCCCACCCTCATTCACCTGGGTCCAGGGGCCCAATGATCCCAGTGGCAGTCCTGGCAACGGAGAGCTGCTGGTCTTTTATAGGCCAATATCTCTCAGTAAGTGGGATTTCCACACTTGGGCATACAATCCCAGGCAAAGCTGATGCTGGCCAGTGGAGTGCCTGATAGGCACTTATTTGATTGGAGGGGTCATTGTAAGTGATGCAGGTTTCCACTCATTCTCCAGCTAGTGTGCCGGACCTGGGTCAATTACATTAAATTCTGCCCCATGTTTCTATTCTCCATTGTATTGTGTTTATAGAAGATTTAGGTTTCTTCATGAAGAATAAAAAGCATATTATTTAACTGGTGAGAGTTTGCAAAACTCAGAGTTGCAAAAGGATCTGGATGACCTAGTGCATAGAAACATAGAATTTTTCCAGTACTGGAAATCATTTGGCCCACTGTCTCAGTACTGGCTCCCAAAAGAGCTACCAGCTAGTCTTTTTCTTCAACCCTATCTCTCTAAATTCATCACTTTCAAATATACATCCAGATCTCTTTGGATGAGTTGCAAAAGGCGAGTGTGCAGGTACAGTAAATACTTAGAAAAGTTAATAATATGTTATAGTTTATTGTGAGCAGAATTGAACACAAAAATATGGAGGTTATAGTTCAGTTACACAGGCCATTGGTGAGACCATCTCTGGAGTACAGTCAGCATTGGTCTCCTTCTTTATGGAAGCATGTGAATGCATTAGAAGCAGTTCAGAGAAGGTTTATTAGGCTAATATTTGGTTGTCGTATGAGGATAGGTAAGACAAGCTAGATATCTGTTGGACTTTACAAGAATAAAAGGTGACTCGATTGAAACATAAGAGGTCCTGAGGGGCCTTGATAGTATGGATGTGGAAAACATGCTCCCTTTTGGGAAGGTCTAGAATTTTGAGTCACTGTCTAAAAGTAATAATAATTTAATGCAAAGATGAGAATTTTTTCCTGAGGGGCATGAGTTTTTGGAATTCTTCTTCAAAGGTGTTCGAAGCAGACTCCTTGAATATTTTTAAGGCACTAGTAGCAGGTTGCTGCCTCAGCCTCCATTTAAAATGGGCAAATATCAGCACCCCGCACCACCACCACCAGTCTCTCCTCATAGGACAGTCCTGCCATCCCTGGTATCAGCTGAGTGAACCTCTGATGCACTCCCTTTATGGCAAGTCTGTCCTTTCTTACGTAATATTCCAAGCGTAGTCTCACCAAGGCCCTATATAACTGCAGTAAGATATCCCTAGTTATGAACTCCTATTCTCTTGCAGTGAAGACCAATATACTATTTACCTTCTTAATTGCTTGCTGCAGCTGCCTGGTATACAAGGACACCCAGACTCATTTATAAATTCACATTTGCCAATGTGTCACCATTTAACTAATACTTTTCCTTTCTGTTTTTCTTATTAAGTCTATACCTTCACATTTAGCCATGTTGTACTGCATCTGTCATGCGTGGTCTACTCAACATGATTAAACAACCTCGAAACCTCCATGTATCCTCCTCACAACTCACAATCCTGCCCAGTTTTGTGTCGTCAGCAAACTTGGAAATGTTGCACATGGTTTCCTCATCAATGCAATTTGTATACATTATGAATAGTTATGGCCCAAGCACTGTTTCTTGTGGTACTCATTAGTCTTCTATTCAGGGGGAAAAAGATGCATTTATTTCCAATTCTGTTTCCTGTTTGTCAACCAATTCTCGAACCATGCCAATATCATGCCAATGTATTACCCTTTATCCGATGTACTTTAACTTTGTCCATTAACCTCTTATGACTGACCTTATTAATTACACCACATCCACTGGTTCTCACTTATTTATTCTACTATTTACATCCTCAAAAAACTCCAGTAGAGTTGTTAAGCATGGTTTGCCTTTCATAAATCTATGCTGGCTTTGTCCAGTCCTGTTAATGCTTTCCAAATGTTCTTCTATCACTTCCTTTATAATCAACTGTAGCATTTTCCACACTATTGACCTTTTAAGATAGTAATGTGAGAGAAATTATGCAAGTCAAAAACATGGAATGGCATGACAAGACAAGAAATTTATGGAATCTTTTTTAATTGAGTTGATTATAATATCGCTGCCGTTATAAACTTATGTTACCTTCTACAGGAGCTAGTATTGAAATGACAAAAGAAGACCCTTTTGTAGAACCCTCCAATGATGAGGACTCTGTGAGTGGAAGTTACAGCACTGTATCCTCAGATTCTGTGAGGCCAGTTGTTCATCCAGTCGTTTCAGCACCTATGCCTACTGATTGTGGTAAGCAATTTCTTTTCATCAACCAACTTTGTGAAAGATTGGACTCCTTACCTGTGTCTTACATTAACGAATTCATCTTTTCAATGATGAATTATACCTTGTAATGTATTTATGTAGTGCATTGTTATGATCTCGAGGGAAGCCACAAGCTTTAAAAAGAAATTCAATCTCCCAGTTATTAATTGAAAGAAGATAACAAGATTTAGCATTTTAAAAAATCTTTTACTGGAAAAGATTTAATCAAAGAAAGGACTACTAACTTAATACTATGGTTGGAAACTTTCCATACCCTGAATGACATGGGCCATACAAACAAGTTGGGAAAATCCTGTGAGATGGCCAGAGAGGATCTTCTTAACATCAAAAACAAAAAGCCCCTTTTTCCAACCGAGTGTTGAATGGCAAGATGAGATTTTTGTTAGTGAGGAACAAAAGATCCATTTGCTTACATAAACATTATTCGCTAATCTCACTTCGATTTACATGCAGTTCTCTATTCTCCCAACCACACTGGATAGAAACTGGAAATTGACAATTCGCGACATGAAAGTCAGAGTGGTAACCCAGTTAATCTAGCTCGCCGCTTGCTCCTTATGACCTCCGTCTTTGATGCCAGGCACCAACATCACAGGGCACTTTTCGAGGCCAGCAACAGTAGCATCCCCATTCATGGACCTTGGCATTCAACTCATATTAAGCTCACCCACAATCACGACATACTCCAGTACACTTACAGTATGCTTTTTTAAATACATTCATGGGAAGCGGAGATTGCTGGTTGGGCCAGCATTTTTTGCCCATGCCTAGCTGCTCTTCAGAAGGTGGTGGTAATCTGCCTTCTTGAACCACTGTTTTCCACTTAGTACAGGTAAACCTACAATGCCATTAGGGCGGGAGTTGTAGAATTTTGACTCAGTGACCCTGATGGAATGGCAGTGTATTTCTGCGTCAGAATGGTGAGTGATTTGGAGGGGAATTTGCAGGTGGTGATGTTCCCATGTGTCTGCTTCCCTTGTCCTTCTAGGTTGTAGGGGTTGAGTGTTTGGTTGGTGCTGTCTAAGGAGCCATGGAGAATTTCTGCACTGCATCTTGTAGATTTCACATACTGCTGCTAGAGCATTGATGGTGGAGAGAGTGAATGTTTGTGGATGTGATTTCAGTTAATTGGATGCTTTGTCCTCGATAGTATCAAGCTTCTTGAGTGTTGTTAGAGTTGCACTTATTCAGGAAAGTGGGGAGTATTCCTTCACAGTGTTGACTTATGGCTTTTAGATAGTGGACAAGCATTCGGGAGTCTGGAGATGTGTTACTGGATGCAAGATTCCTAGCCTCTGACCTGTTCTTGTAGCCACAGTTCAGTTACTGGTCAATGGTAACCCCCAGCTTGCTGATATTGGAAGATTCAGCAATTGTAATCAGATTCTATATCAAGGGGCAATGTTTAGATTCTCTCTTGTTGGAAATTGTCTTTGCTTGCCACTTGTCAGCCTAAACCTGGATATTGTCCAGACCTTGCTTCATTTGAATATGAATTGCTTGAGGAGTCAGGAAAATATGTCGAACATTGTTCAATCATTCATGAACATCCCCACTTCTGATTTTATGATGGAGGGAAGGTTATTGATGAAGCAGCTGAAAATGGTTGGGTCTAGATCACTACTCTGAAGAATTCCTGCGCTGATATCACGGAGTTGAGATGACTGACCTCCCAACAACCATAGCCATCTTACTTTGTGCTTGGTAAGACTCCAACTAGCAGACTGTTTTGCTCATATGTGATGGCTCTTTGATGCCATACTCCATCAAATTCAGTCTTGATATCAAGTGCAGTGAATCTCACTTCACCTTTGGAATTTAGCTTTTGTCTGTGTTTGAAGTAAGGCTGTAATGAGGTAAAGGAACGGGCAGAGCACAAGCTCAGCTTCAAACAAGTGCTGCTGGATACTGTTGTTGACATCCCCCGTCATTTTAGTGATGATTGAGAGAAGGGAGATGGGTTGGTGATTGACTTGGTTGGGTTTATCCTGCTTTTTTGTGTGCAGGACATACTTGGGCAATTTTCCACATAGCTGGGTGGATGTCAGTAGCTGATTTTAAAAAATTCACTCACAAGATGAGGGCATCACTGACTAGGCTAGTATTTGTTGCCCATCCCTAATTGCCCAGCGGGCAGTTGAGAGTCAACCACATGTAGGCTAGATCAGGTGAGGATGGCAGTTTCGTTCTCTAAAGGACATTAGTGAACCAGATGAGGTTTTCCTGGCAATCGATTCATGGTCATCATTACACTCTTAATTCCAGAATTTTTTTAAAAAATGAATTCAAATTCCAAAACATTACCTGCGTCTCTGGATTAATAGATAATACCACTAGGCTGTCACCTCCCTCGTGAACAGCTTGGCCAGTGACAAGTTCTGGACATATGTCTTCTGAACCACTGCCACTGTTGTCAGGGCCAGCAGCCCTTGCTTCTAGCCATTTCTGGATGTCACATAGAATGAATAAAATTGGCTGACTGGATTTTAGAGGAGGCTGCAATGGTTCACCCACTTGGCACTTCTGGCTGAAGATTGTTGCAAATACTTTAGCCTTACCTTTTGTACTGATGTTCTGTGCTCCCCCATCATTGAGGATGAGGATGTTTATGGACCATTTTGCTCCATTGTGTGTTTAAGTGTCCACCACTATTCATGACTGGAAGTAGAGGAACTTTACCTTGACTTTACCTTGGTTGTAAGATTGAGAATTGCTGGGAGGAGGTCTAGAGTATACATGCATTTTTAATGAGTTTGTACAACCTATGATGTGAAGAAGTTGTGGTTGATAGTTTAGTATATTAAAAGAAAATAGAAAAAAATCTGTTGCCTAGCAACAGGTTATGGATACATACAAAGGGAGAGAGATGTAAGTGTGTGGGTATCTGAAAGAATGGAAGCAGAAAGGTTAAATTGTTTAGGAAGAGATCTTGCAATATAGCTGTAAACTGAGTTTAGGGAACCTGTGCTTCATCTGAAGTTAAAGTGATGTTGAACTTAGTTTGTTTGAGATGTCTCAGGCAGAGGTGCCAGCTGAATAAAAGCATCTAGCAAATGCACAGGAATTTGCCAGAAGGAAACCAGTTACAGCTGTGCCGTCCTGATCAAGATGCCTTCGTGCAGACATTGTGGTGATTCTTTGCTGGGGTTTGGTGTTTGTGAGAATATTGCTGGGATAAAAGCAATAGTGTGAGATTGAACCCTTTTGCTAGCGCTTGTACTGAAATCTTTCCAATCTTCTTGTCTAGTGCAACATAGTTCATGGGCTTTCCTTGTTTAGTAAATGTTTTGTTCTTTTTTTTTTTAATTCACTCGTGGGACGCAGCCGCCATTTTTGTTGCCAGTCTGCGTTGCCCTTAAGGTGGTGGTTAGTGGCTTTCTTGAACCACTGCAGTCCATGTTCTTTCGGTAGATCCATAATGTCCTTTGCAAAGGAATTCCAGGATTTTGACCCAGCTACACTGAAGGAATGGAGATATATTTTCATGTTAGGATAGTGAGTGTCTTGGAGGTGAACTTGCAGGTAGTGGTGTTCCCAAGTATCTGCTGCCCTTGTCCTTCTCGATGGAAGTGGTTGTAGGTTTGGAAGGTGCTGTACAAGGATCTTTGGTGAATTTCTTAGTGCTAAAAGTATAATGTAGACTTTTGTGAATGTGTTCAGTAGCTGACATAATGAGTAAAAAAAAGTAGAGTCTTTCAAATTAAATTTCATTCTGGGATCTGATCTGTCATATGTCAACTTCAGCTGGGATTACAACAGGTGCCCTGCAGTAACACCAAGATTTCAGAAACTGTACTTCCTAGAGGGACAACGGCAGCATACACATGAGAACGTTACAACTGCCGGTTCATGCTTAAGTCGTACACCATCCTGACTACGAACTATGTCACCAATGCTTCACTATAGTGGAATCAGAATTCTAAAACTCTCTTCTCAGTAGTCAGAAGTCACACGACACCAGGTTACAGTCCAACAGGTTTATTTGAAATCTCAAGCTTTTGGAGTGCTGCTACCTTTAGGTAAAGTGACTTCACCTAATGAAGGAGCAGTACTCCGAAAGCTTGAGATTTCAAATAAACCTGTTGGACTATAATCTTTTGTCATGTAACTTCTGACTTTGTCCACCCCAGTCTAGCACGGGCACCTCCACATCACCTCTTCCCAGTAGAACTGTAGCTTTACTTGCTCAGATGAACTGCAGTGGTTCAAATAGGTGGCAGTTATGGAAGGGCAACCAATGTTGGCCTTGCCAGTAATGCCCATATTATTATTTTTAAAAAGTGCACAGGTTTTGTTTCTCACTGCATCTTCTGTTTCTCTCTATTTTTTAACTTCTGCAGTTTCTGTTTAGTTACGTACAACGAATTTGAGGAGAATTCACCCTTGAAAATTCAGTTGGCAGTAATGTTTAATTAGATATTCTCATATTTTCTCTGTGAATGATTCAGATCACTTTGTGCTTCTTCACTGCCTTTTCTCATTTTAATTCTGTCAGTCTACAAAACAGCATCACCGATAGAAATTTGCTCACACACAATTGCATTACATGTTCTAGTTTTTGTTTTGATACTGTCACTGAGTGAAATCTTAAGTATACTTTGGACATGACTACAATTGTTGTTAAGTGATTTGTATCAATTGGTCATACTTATATAAGTGGACATTCTGAAAAGTGATCACTTAGTGAAAATGTACCACTGCGTGAAGTGTAGTTTTAGTAATTACATTTTGAAGAGTGATAACTGAAATCATGGATCATTGTCAAAAAAATCTATTGCTCTAAGAATTAGAACAATTAATAGTTTTTAAAGAGAAAGTTCTTTGAAATTATGTCTTCATTTACACATTTTCTACTATCTGGGCTTTGCATCATTTATGTAGTGCATAACTGCGTCTGTTGAAGCACACACGGTAATGGTAATGTTTCAAATAAACTATTGCAGAATGACTTTATCTTAATTAGT